GTCAATTTACGTCCAAAGTGAATCATCCCTTCAATGTTCAGCCAGAGCAGTTACTATCAGAGCTCTTCACTTTGGTGCAAGCTCTAAGCTGGTGTCAGTGGTAACTAGTCTTTGTGACTGATAACTCTCTTAGACCAGAGTAAAAATCAATGCAACTGTTTTGCTGATGAAGCTATAGCCAAAAGTCCAAAACTTAATTCCACAATTCAGGGTAAATGAGTGAGTATTATTTTGTTTTTCTTTTCCTTCCATTTTCACTTTCGAAGAGAAAAGAATGCATTTTTAGTAAATGTTTATATGTGACAGGAGACACTTTCCTACTCTCTGCTTCATGGGTCTCCATGTTTCACTAAAAATTGCCAAGAGCGTTAAACTTCAATATAGGGGCACTGAGCAGTTTTCCTAACTGTGTAAATATGTTACATTTTGGACACTCTGAACTGTTGACCTTCCCTACAAGGGAGATGCTGCTAAAATGTCAGTTAATCACGAAGTGGTTCCACAATGGGCGACCTAGAAGCAGCAGGCAATTTCAAAGAGCAGTTTTAACGTGCAATTGCCAAAGCATGCAATGCAGACAACTCGTGATGACAGCACATTTTATTTCTGTGTAATAAGAGAAAAGAGAAACCGTATTTTCTTTGCTTCTATACCAGATGGTACACCCAGAGGAAACAAACACACAGAAAAAAAAAAAAAAAAATGCATGCTTTCTTTGATTGTTCAACGGAGTTTTTAAATTACTTCCCATTTAAGAGAACTTCACATTTATGCCATTTTTAAAAATGTATAAAGTGCCTGAAGAAACATTATGTGAACAATAAAACTCGGGTAAGGATGCAGAGCAACAGTGAAATAATCAGACCCGTAGGTTCCTAAAGCATGAAGCAGACTTAGATGGCTTCTGCTACTGGAGGCTGTGATAGCCCCTGTCCTAACTTGAGAGACCCTCAGATCAGCCAACAGCACGTACAAATGATTTCAATCTTCTTGGAAAGCAAACCAAAAGATAGCTTTGGCAATCACACAGGTAGCCATTGACACAAAAGAACCAAGTAATATATTTGTTACACTTTCTGTTAACCAAACTTTTAAAAATACAACATATATTTAAGTGTTCAGTACCAATCCACTGTGCTTTTAATAAAAGAGAAGAGACAAACATAAGGAAGGCTATGCTTTCTCAGGGAATAAATTAGCCATAGAGACTGTAGCCTTTTTTTTTTTCTTGAGACAGTAGTTTTAGAAGTGCATACCCCCCCAAAAAAGGTAATGTCAGAATCTATAGGGCTTATGATATCAACCTGTTCTTAGTAAAATTTACAACAAAACTTTAAAAACAGATTTTATATTTGCCTAATGTCTTGCGCTCTCTATTGTCTTGTTAGGTTTTAAACGTTTAAAAAATTATGTCTTCAGAAGTTCGCATTTGCATGTTTAAAGCTTTGCTTTACAATTCTGGCTACACGAACTACTATTGCATGTGATTTGCCTTATTTTTGAAAAAATAATTGTCCCAGTAGAATGCAGTTAGCCAAGGTTTTTGTTTTAATATGCTATAAAGTAACTAACTTATTTTGCTACATTGCTATCTTGTATATTGCTTATAATCTTATAACTGGCAAAAGCCCTGGTCTTCTTGGCCCATGAGAGACAGTCTTGTTAAAAAATATGCATTCTTAGTGCATAAAAACACATTAATTTTTGCAAACTGTATTCAAAAATGTTTAAGTTGTGTATGTATAACTTAAAATTCTAAAGCTGTGACTGAACTAAAATAACAAAGTGTATGTGACTCCCAGATTCCACCTGTTGTACTTCTGTTCATTCATTTTATACTATGTTAAGAAGAGGAAAAATTCACCTCGGGATTAGAGGGAATGGAAAGGGTGCTTTTAAAGTACCAGACAGTAGGTTTAAGCTGCCATGGTCAAGCGCTCTGAAATTAGACAAGTCACTGATAGTTTGAGGTTTTTCTTCCCTGAGTATTAAACTCACCAAGCACAAAAATGACATAATAATATATCTAACTCAAAAGACTGATGTGGGTATAAAACACATCATCATGAATTCACTTTATATATTGATTCTAAACAAATTCAGGTCAATACTTAGCTAAAAAGTCTACATTCTCCTCCTAAAGTGTAAAATTTATTCATTTAGACAGAAGCATAGTTAGCAGACGGGTTGAAAATTTATTGACAGATTTCTTCCAAGTAAACAACATTTACTACTGCCAGAAATAAAATATCAATGTCTTAAGTGCTTTAAAATAGGTTTTTAAAAATAGTAAAAAATAAGCAATTTATTCTTTGATTGTACTTAGGAGCCACAAAAGTTGTCTCAGTGTAATATAGAAAAATGAAATGAGAATTTCTGAAGGCCAGAAATAATCATGTATAACTTAAAAAACAGTTACATGAAATTAATATATATTTACAACTAATAAGTATTTACATTTATTATTAAGGATAAGAATACATGACATATTAAAATAACTGCTTCAAAGTAATCAATATTAATTCAACCAGATTATACTCATGGTAAAAAACTAAAATTGTAAGTAATATATTCCTGGTCCTGATTGAAATGCAGTATTTTATAGATTTGGTGATCAGTGCCACTTATAAAACTAGTAACCACAATGCCATTAAGTAGAATTACACAGGAACTTCTTCCAAAGGTCAGGCTTGGGATCGCAAGAGGACTATTTCTTTAGATTCAAAGAATTTTGTAGTGTTTGCAATCTTTACTAAAAATCAACTGATAGGAAATTTTGCCTAAATTTTATTCTGCTTTGTGATAGAGAATCTCAGGCATAGGCCACTAGTGGTACTGCTAAAGTTCAAGTGACCTTCCCTAAACTTAGGAGAGAAAAGTAGACCTTGAAGCAGGGAAATAGAGGAGCATCAGAATTTTAATTAATACAAATTTTAGATATACAATGCTTATCAATTATATTCAACTTCTGCTTTTCAGAGGTAATTTTAGAAAGAGTGCTACACGTAGTTTCATAACTTTCCTTTTCTTCTGGAGAAAGATTAGTAGAAATTCCTAGAGTTCACGAACATGGTTTCCTTCAAATGTACAGTGTACTTGAAAAATCTAATAGCACTTCTCCCAAAAAACTTGAGCAGACATAACTGTGCAGACTTTAATTATATGTGTGACGAAGATTCACAGCATTGAGTATGGCTTTTAAAACATTTCTAAAACTGGAAGTAAAACAGCAAGTCATTGAGCTTGCTATCACTTACCATACAAGTGTACACATTAAATGTTTTTAAATAAAGAATCGGATAAAACTTCCAATGAAATTTCAAAATATCAAGGTAGTTTAGAAGTTAGAAAGCAGCTATAGTGTAAGTATAGGCAAGCAAAGTCAAGAGGGGACCACAGACTATCAAATCATTATGGGTTATTACATTCGGACATACATTATAAAGATAAAATGCAGACCAGCATAATTTTATTAGAGATAAGAAAGGGTGATTTTATAGAGCACATGTGAACAATTTCCACAGTGACATGGACTCTTGTTCATCTTTCATGTCACCATGGGATACGAATCTTGGAACACGGAGTGAACTATTCTTCTATCTCTACAATTTCTGCTTCCAATGTCTACCTTAGTTGAGGTTGTGAAGTCCAACTTTCCTCTCTTTCAGAACATTTATCTACTACTAAACTAGTGTTTTATCACAAGACCTTGAACAGGAAGGCATACATCTATCAAATATTTTAAACAGACTCTAAGACTTCAGCTCAGCAGTGGAAATAGCCAGTGTCTTCTAGGATCGAGTGTTTTTCACATAACAGATTAAGTATGGTACTAGTCAATAAATTATTAAACTCTCTACTGCCTAAATCTCAAATGAATGAGTGAGTGGTTAAACTTTTCTCCAGTAAATATCTTTTAATAGATGCTTTAAATATATTAAAATTTATCTGGATTCAGAAATATTAATAGATTAGAGTTTATCAGGTAATTCAATGAGTTTTGTTGCAATGGTAGATCACTATTCCTGGTGAGTAGCCCAATAATATTGTAAGTAACAAGCACATCTTTAAGAAACAAGATGTATTATATCAGCACTTATATTTTCATTAATTCTCAGTTTGTTTGCAATTTTCAGAAACTGACTTATCAAATGGTTAAGGAAGGTATTTCAACAAAATGGTCGATGAATACAAGATACCTTTTAAGCTACTCTAAAAATTAAACTATTTTTCACAATAAACACTTCCCTAAAAAGTGCACCCAAAGAACTTACATGATTAAAATTTTCAGTGGCATTTGGTAGACAGCTAATAATTCCTCCCATTATAACAACATGCTGTAGTAAGGAGCCAGGAATAATGAGTATATCTTATTTCTTTTGCTTTTCTTCTTCATTTTTTCACACAGTATTATTTTCATAGTTCTGTATCAGACGTGGCAAGAGCATTGAGAAAGCTTAAACATATAATGAAAATCTTTCTGTATTCCACAGCTGGTTGTCAAGCTGCTAAGCTACTTCTCAATGGATTTTTTTAATAGAATGGCTGTCTCATGGAGGCATTTTTCACCTGTCCTGAGTAACTATTTTTATTTATCTTGTATGATAAGGCCTGTGCATGGACTAAATTAACATTATTGAAGAGGACAACTTCTGCATGGTAAAAATGTATTCACTATTTGCTTGACCTGAAAAGGTCTTCTTTCCTAACCATACTTTCACCTACAGTTATCACAAATGTTTGGATTGAATACATAATGGGTTCATCAAAACCACCATGCAGAAAACAAATCTGTTTTCACAATAACGCCAGGATAAAAGCGGCACACACTGGAGTGAAGTCAGTTAAATTACGACATAATCAAGGTGACAGATTATTTCAGAGGACCTCTGCTCGTGTAGCTACATCATGAGTCAGGACATCAGGACTTTTAGTATTGTACGCGCACTGCACTTCTGGGTCCCATGTCTTCCTAAGGTATCATGGCCCTTCAGCCTTACCTGCACATTTGGTTCTGGTGATTAGCGGAGGTCCTGGCAGTCCTGTTCCACCTTCCCCGGGTCTTGTAAGGAGGACACGGATCTCATATTCCGTGTCTGGATCTAAATGCCATAACTTGTAAGTTGGAGCGTTGACTGCATGGGTTTCCGTCCAGGATCCTGACGTCATCCGATATTCCACTTCTTTCAGGATAATGGGCCCATCGCCAATGATAGAGTTGGCATTCAGTTGAATCAGCAAATATGTAGGCCCAACGCCCAGCAGCTGGGGAGGAGCAATGGGCCTTGGTGGTTCTAGGACAGAAGAGTGTGCAATGTAATTAGATCTAAAGCATTATAAAAATACATAAATGTCTCTTAAAGCCTAAAGGCTTAGTGAATGATTAATTTAGGAGCACATGATAAATATTTAAACCAGACAGGAGTGATCTGGCAAATGTACTTTTAAGAGCAAATGCTTTCATGAAGGCTATGATCATTTTAGCACAAGTTTTCTTCCATTAACAGATGCCTCTGTGGGAGATAAACTTGTGAAGGCACAGTAAACAAGTCACAGAAAGAAAAAGCATTTGTAGATGAAAAATTCTCATTAGCTACAAAGAGAGTGGCGTTGATCTCTCTATATGCTGTTCCACTGATGAAAGATAGCCAAGTGGTCCTTTCCGTTCTGTTCTGGCTTTGTTTGCACCTCTTCAGCTTTCAGGCAGATGAATTAAGGAGAAAGCCACAGAGAAAGAAGGTTCTCACGGAAGTCAAGCCTGGGTTCTGACCTGCTTCTATACACTCAACTCACCATATAAGAAAAGGAAATTGACTCACTTTTACAATCACAAAGCGCTACATATCGCTGGCCTTTGGGAGCCACATGTGATAAGACAATCTGTCACGAATCAAATGAATGCTAAGGGTACAATGCAAATTAATTTTTGAAGGCTTAAGATGTTTTGTTTGCAAGAAATGTTGGGGAACGTTATTTTAAGGTTTGAACTTATAGAAATGATGAAGAGTGTATGCCAGCATTTGCTACTACTAACAATAATGCAAGTGATATAAAAGTTGGGAGTTTATGAAGGATTTCACAGCTCGAGCTCTGGCTCTATGCTCTGTCCACAGGGAATATTAAGTCAGGAAGCGGTAATTAGTACAGTGTGATCAGTGGGAGTTTTTTTTGAACTTGTGGAGCACTGCTCACACATTTCAGGGAAGTTAAAGTACTTTAAAGGAAAGCATTCATCTTAATAAAGTGGTAATTGCTCCTAAATTCATTAAAATTATTTTTTCAGATAGAGGGAATGACATAAGGAAAACCATTAAACGCATTCCGACAATGCTCTCACCTGACCCACCCCAGGCAGAGATAGGCTGCAGAAGACACAGTTATAGGGAAGTCAAGAAGAGCCAGCCAGTGACTTTCAAACTCTATTTTCTATTTCTTTTTTTCTTTTTTTTTTTTGTTTTTTTGTTTTTTTTTTCCAGTACCAGGAATCGAACTCACGACCTTGCACTTGCCAGGCAGGCACTATGCCGCTGAGCTAAATCCCCAGCCCCTCTATTTTCTATTTAGTGGTGAAACACCGCATGGGAAAAGTGCAATGCAGAAAAAATAAAGCTATGGAGAAGTTTTACCTTTCATACAGGTTTAAATGAAATAAGATTTTTCAGCTGGACCTGAAGATTTGCTTTTTAATTATACTTTCATAAACATTAGTGCATAAAAACCCCTGAATTACAAACATCCCTCACCTTATTAATCTGGATCTCACCATAGACTGAGAACATTTTCATGAATATTTCTTCAGAGTTCATAGGGAAATTACTTATTTAGTAGCTACTAATTGCTACCCCATTCTATAGGGTATCCATATAATATGATGGAGAGGAAACGATTACAATAAACCAATAAATTTATTATTTTAAACTGAGATTTATATGAAAAATAAATAGTACCTTGTGATAAAGAAAAATAGATGTAACATAATATTTTACCCTCCAAAATACTTAAAAGTATAAGTAATTTCTTTAAATAATCATGGCTTATTAAGGCAATAGGTAGCAAACTAGCAATTAAAAGAATAAAGAACTAGTAGCTAATCATATTCATGTTTAAAATGAAAATAAAACTACCATCAAAGAAGATAACATATGTTATATAAAATGGATATGTTTAGAACTATTTCTATGGAAAATAGTTCTCAACACCTGGTTTATAAACTTTAACTATAAAATGTTTTCTACAGACTTGCTAATTGTTTCAAACAATATGTAGTTAAAATTGTTTTCTAGATGTATTTCCAGTTTCAAAGTGAATGCTGTGAAGTCAGTCTCAAAAGGGGAAGCTTAAACACAACCAAAACAGCTTAGAATTTTCATTCATCAGCTAGTAGAAGATACAGCTATGTAGTTCATACCATGAAATTGTATCAACTGGCCTAACTTTTCCAGCCACAGTTTACATAACTTACAAGGTAGATAAAAGTTTTAGTAGGGAAAAAGTAAAATGAAATTGAATAGAGAAATGAACATAATGGAAAAAATGTAAAAGTCTTCCCAGACTCTACATGTTGCACTTCTGTCAAGAAACAGTCTGTATTTGTGCATAAATGAAATTGCCTCATCTTTGCAAAGTATCTTTCCCTTCCAGATGGTTCGTATAATCTAAGCTACAGCAGGAAACAGTGCTACACTCAGAGCTTACTGGGGTTCAACCCATAGCTGAAATGCCACACTGTGTTAGAGCTCTACAATGACCTGTACTGGTCTGATACTTAACATGCTCAAAGAACAGGAAGAATATGCCAAAAGGACTGTGACTAATAAACCTTGGTTGACTGACAAGTGTATAGGTACTCTGAAACGCGACCTTACACCTGACTACTGAATGTTAGATCTCACCCCTCAGAACCTTGCGCTCTTATCGCAGAGACCAAGGAGCTAACAAGGGAGGAGAGCCCAAGATGGAGAGGAAAAGAAGGGAAGGAAAAAGCTACAGAAAACACAATACAAGAAACAAGTACTGCATTTCATCTGGGATTTCTCTCTATAAGTGAAGTGAAATCTGAAACCGGAAGGCCCAGTTTCTCTCTATAAGTGAAGTGAAATCTGAAACCGGAAGGCCCAGTTTCAAAACACGCATGCATAGGAAGAGCAGGGTACACATGCATATGTTATTTAACTTTGACTTTCAATTTCATCATTAGTAAATAAGGCACTATTTGAAGAACTTTTAAAGACTGTGTTTTTCTAAATATATCAATAAGTTCTGTATGCGGTACTACTTTGCTTTGTTTTCATCTTCACCAGAAAGCACATAAATTTTAAAACCAGAAATTAATAGCTGCCACTAGTGTTCTGCGTAAATGAAGAAATGAGTTTGATGTAAAAAAATCCTTTGTCCCGAAAAATGACAGCGTGTCACTCTGGTTTTACATCTTGCGCACAAAAGGGAGTAGTTCAATAATCAAAGTAGTAGCTCCAAGTGGGAACAGTGGCAATATTCAGCGAGGGCTGGAAACACATACCTTGATTAATAGCAGGACGATAAGAAGTGAAACTCACATTAACAAGACGAATATACCACTACATATTAAGATTTTTTTCTGTTGATGATAAAAAAGTAGCCTTACATTAGCATATATATTTTGTTTCCAGACCCTTGAGAACAAGGAGATTTATTTATAAAAATCTCTATTCATTTCAATAAATTATGCATGAATTTTAATCAGTTAGCAAATGAACTAGTAATTGTTCTGCAGCGATATTAATATCCTTCATAACTTAATACACTACCAGGCCCAGAGGTGTGGTACAAATAAATCTCAATTGTACACCAGGTAGCAAGTGAAGCATGCAATCCCCAAAATGCAAGATAAACTTTGCCAGTGTTACCAGCTAACTTTCAATTAATGACTTACATCCATCATTCTAAAGCCAGCCTATTGCAAGATCCCAATTACATACCCAAATTATGTTATTCATTTTTATATTAAGTAATTTCAAAAAGTGTCTTGAAATCAGGTAAACCATTGTAAATGTGTAGTTTCATCCAATTATGTCTATGATAGTAGTATTTTACAAACATGTGTCACTAATCAAAATTCAGTTAACCAATAAAATGCAAAGTAAGAAAAAAGCCAGGAGCCAGGAAATGTCAGTAACACAGTAAATGTGAAGGCAAATAACATTTGTACACCTATCTTTCCAGATAGATAAATGAAATACCTCTCGATGCGATCTCCCTCCTAATTGCTTTATTTTTCTGCCAAAGAGTGTTTGATATAAAGAATCCTAAATTTAACCCTCCCAGGATGGAAGCAGCCAATAATAGTAGATTGACCTGTGGCTGCCATCACAAGTGCTTATTAAAAAAACCCTGTTCTCTTGTAGTTTTTGAATCAAGAACACCAAAATCAGTGCCAGAAGACCCTAAGACTTCTTGAGGAGTGCGGTAGAAGTCAGGGCCTTCTGCCAATATCGTTTGTTTAGAAGCCACGTGCCGCCAATGTCCTAATCCGTATCCAGACTACTTTCTGCTCTGTCTGCAGTCAAACCTCCCTCGGCTTTCCAATTCAGTGGTCAGCGGTGGTGGCTTTAGGCCTGGCATGGACAGCCGAAGATACTCGGTCATGGTTTACATCTAGATGTCCCCCAAAGCCTCATGGGCTCATACGTGACGCTTCTGAGAGGGGGCTGGATCGTGGGGCTCGAGAGTCACAGTGGCTTAGTCCACGGATGAGTCTACAGCTGACATCGTGAGGAAAGCAGACGTGGGTCAGAAGAAGTGTGATTCTGGGGCACGGCCTGGGAGGATTTGCCTCTTCCTGGCTCCTGCCCTCACTTTCTTCTGATTCCCAGTGCCACGGTCTGCCTCTCTGCTGGGCTCCTCTGCCATGCCACACTGCCTTGGAGCCACCCGACTGCTGACCGAGACCTCTACACCCTGGGAAGCACAGCAAACCTTTCCTCCTTTAAACGGTGGGTACCAGGAGTTGTGTCTCAGCGCTGAGAAAGTAAGACACTCACCATTTCAGATTCTTCACTGTAATCACATTTGCACAAATTATTCCACCATATAAGGTAATAAGTATTCATAGGTTCCAGAACCAGACATGTTTTGGGGGGCGCTTTTAAGCCCACCATAGACATTGACTAAGATTTCAGCAATCCTTCTGGGAGATAGCTGAGTTCTACTTTCTTCTAGTTAATAAGGAGCTTGGGAATAGAAAATGCCTCACTTGAAAATTTTTTAGCTAGGTTCAAAGCATTTTAAGTATAAAAGAGCTTAACATTTCATCTAT